TGCTTCTTCAGTCTCTGTAGGAAAAGAGGTGGGGGTCTGACTTCCTCTAATGACGGGGCGGGAATAGTATTTGCCTTGGCATTTTTGTTTTCTCCCTCAGTCGCTTTACTTGATGAACCCACATCCTTATCCTCTTCCACTGATGTTTCTTCTAGCAATTCTTGATCAGCTTGCACGGTTACAGGGGGTAAATCATTCTTCGATCTTCCCCAAACTTATCTTCTACATTGATTTGAGTACCTCTCCGTAGAGTTAGTACACTGTATTGTTCTTTTCCATGAGGTTTGGTGGCTTCAATGTCACTCGGTAGATGTTCTGGTCGTCGTTCTTGTAATGTCGCAACAATTTGACCAACCTGACCCTCTAATGCCCTCAGAGATGAACAATGGCTCTCATTGGTTTTTTATGGAGGTCACATGGTCTTCGTAGTTGCTATGAACTCTTGCATTGTGGCCTCCAAAAAACTTGTGTTAGATGAAGATGACCCTCCCTTGTGAGAATTATGCCATGGCATATTCGTTTGAAAACCTTGGGAGTCATTGAAATTCTACTGCCAAACTGGTTGATTAGCATTGTTGGTTCTTTGATTTCCCCATGAAAAGTTTGGATGTTAACGCTATCCAGGATTATATGTGTTAGAATATGGGTTTTTGTTGCCTCGATTATTGTTTCACACATAGTTGATGGATTCTTTATTAGTCTGGCACTCACTCTCATAGTGATTGTCGTGGCATAATAAACATGCTGAATTGGCTGCCTTTACTTCTCTCACCTCACTTGGTCTTTGCAAATTCTTCAACATATTGGTAATAGCAGTAAGTTGGGCAAACATCGAATCTTTAGTGTCTAGTTTGAATGCTCAATGTAATTTTTGCCCAAGTCAAGCCTTGTAGATGGAAATTGATAATCGTTGTTGGCAATCCTATCTAGTATGCCAAATGCCTCTACATGTGATTTGTCAAGTAATGTCACATTTACCGAGGCATCTGGCATTATCCTCATGGGTGCATTAACTCCATTATAGAACATCACCACTTGAGTCCAATCTTGAAAACCATGATTTGAACATTTGAGAAGCAATTCTCTATACCAATCCCAACATTCATACATTGATTCGTCATCAGGTCATCAGCTTGATGAAAAGAAGTGATATCATTCCTCAGTTGGGTGTTCATGTTCGGAGGATTATACCGTAGAAATTGTTTTTGCACAGATCAGTCCAGGACTCTATTGAACCCGTTGGAACGCCACTCAACCAAGCCCTTGCTCGATCACGCAGAGAATATGGAAATAGATTTAACTTCAATACATCTTCATGCACTCCTTGTTGATGAAATGAATCGCACATCTCAAAGAAGTTACGAATATGTTGTCTGGCATCCTTATTTGACGTGCCCCCAAATTGCCCATTGGAATTTAGTATATTGAACATGACAAGTTTGAGCTTGAAATGGGATGTCTGAATCTCTGGTGCCATAATTCTAGAATTTAAGTCATCTAAGATAGGGTTTAAGTTATCACGAATGGCACGAGGTATGGCTGCATTCCCAGCGTTTGGAATTGAATCAGCATTCAGATCTTCCTCATGACCAATGCTTTGATTTCCGAGTTGATACATATTTGCACGTTGAGCACGTCTTTTTTGCCTAAGAATCCTCTCGATCTCAGGTTCAATTGGTTCTAATGGCTCATTAAAGTGTCTTCTGGTCATATACCGCTAAAAACCTAAAAATGATAAGGAAAATAAAAAGTAAAACTATATATAAAAAATAAACAAGTAAAATAAAAATGTTATGACAAAACTAATTAACTTCTTGTTGCCAATCCCGATAACAGCGCCAAAAACTTGTCCGTGTGTTGTGATTACTATATTTCGTCACGAAAATATGTGCAAGTGTACACAATCGAACAAGTAATATAGTGATGAGTGAGTATCTTATCCACAGGGATTGAAGGAAATGCAAAAGTTTAATCACATCAATTTACTATATCACCTAAGTAAAGTTAGTGATGGTATATATAAATGATAATGTTATGGAAAAATGAAATGGATGTTGAGGAAATAGAATGATGGTATTATGATGTGGAAGTAAATGGATATGCTATGGTAAATTATATTGTGTTCGATGCAAACAAATGAAAATGTAAAAGCAAAATAAAATGTAAAGGTTGGATTTGATTATCAGGACTTTAAACTCCTCTCACGACAAGTTACTATGGGAATGAATGACAACAGTCACTTGGGAAATTTAAGTCTACTTCTCAGAATGGTCTTACTTCTATGGATTATCTGCCCAAAAGAGTGTACTAAGAGTGTCATATGCTATCTTTAGTTAAGGGACTCGACAGGTTAAAGATGCCTTGGCAAATCGATTAGTGTTAGCTACTGCAGGGATCCTATTGGTCCAGATAACATGATATGTCACAACAATACCCTTTTGCGACATCATTAACATCTAACCTCTTGATCACGCACAACTCCTTATAGTCGACTAAAACCCTAGCCTTATCTCTAAGGTGGATTAGGCCTAGTTACTACCTAGAACGCATTGCTTATGTGGTTCCTCCCTAGTTTTTCTTGAACACTAAGGATGTGCTACTTAGTCATTCTTTCGAACACTAAGTAATCTCCTAAGGAATGGCTACTCTCATAGCTCCTACAACCTGAAGGCATTAAACTTCATAAACAAAACAGATAACAACATACAAAAACAACCATTCATTAAAGTTAAACTTAAATATCCAAAATAAACTCACACCAAATAAGACTAGTTCATGGTGGGTTTGAATGTTTCAAACACAAAACAAGAAGTTAATTCGTTCCATACAACCCAAATGATAAAAATGAAAGCAAAGAGCGAAGGGAATGAGGAAAAGCCTTCGACGTGCTCTGTCAGAGCTTCCCTCGGCCACCACGAACTGTCCAAACGAGCTAGCTCCTCTCGGACGCCTAGTTCGCCTCTCCCTCTGGCTTGTCAACGGAGGAATGCCACGTCAAATAGGATAGGTAAAGAAAGGAGAGACTTTTTCCTCTGAATTTTCTGGCTTAAGGCGACGTGTGGATAAGTCTCTTTGCAATTTGGATTCATCTCCTATTTATAGGGGAGAATAAACCTAAGAATTTGTGTTGAAATTCCTAGGATATCCCAAATCATGCTTCATTCACGTGAGGGTGAGCAGAGGTGGCAGTGGTCCCCTTGGGCAGCTGGTAGTGGTCCAGCCTGGGAGGCTGGCTGAGTAGCGGACAAGATCAGGCTGCTGTAGGTTGAGGTCCAACAGAATCAGCTACAGCAGGGTGTGGTCTAGTAGGAATAGTTGCAGTAGCACGTGGTCCCCTCCAGGCAGGTGTCTCCTCTCGGGTAGATATCACATAGAGATAGGGACAGTTGGCTCTGAAAAATATCTTCTTTCGTTTTGTTTGCTCTTGAAATGCCAACCGAATCGGCATTTGCATTCTGCTCAGCAGTCTCATCATGTCACGGCACTTCCCTTTTTCTTTTCCTTGCTCCCAAATCTTGCACATAACCAAACAAACACATTCCCCATAAGGCAGCACCTTTTACAAAATAAAATGTCGCGACAAACATAATACCACCACATGCAACTATATGCTCCTAAATGCATCTATATGATCCTAAATGGGCTCTTAGACAGTCAATAACTTAAGTGCAAAGGTCTCAAATATGACTTTTTTACGGAGTTATCACCTGCACATAAACCAATTTGATAGAAAGGCTTAATGACCAATTGGATCTTCTTTATATATTTTTTAAAAAATAAAATAAATTTATAACTAACACCAAAAGATATAATATTTTCATAAGAATCCTATAATAATCCTAAATTCAACTAATAAGATAAATTTAATTTTTAAACTAAATAATAAAGAAAATAATGATAATATAACTTACTTATTTCACTTCAATGTTGAGTTAAGATGAACCACGAACAAGACTTGAAGTTGGAATGAAAGGGGGAAATTGATCTCTTAAAATGGTGGAGAAAAAAATAATTTTTTTGAAGAACTTATCTCTTGAAAATGTGGAGAAGATGAAGATGAAAGATTTACACTTTGAAACTAAAGTTTCTCTGCTTCCTCCCGTTGCCTTCTTTACTTCTTACTTTGGTTGTGAATTTTTTTAATATTTTGATTTTTAAATTCATTTTTTTCAATTATTTGTAACACTTCCAAACAAATTCTCTGCTATTTGCTTTAGTACTTTCTTACACACCTACATCATCTACTACATGCTTTAGTATTTTTACTTACACCTTTTTTTTGGTCAAATTCATTTGTCCAAGAATCATATTTTTTATTTTATTTATAATATTATTTTTTATTTACATGTATTTTTTATTTTATATTATTTTGTATTATGAATAGGTACATCAATCCAACCCAACGTTCTAGTTTTTTATGGCTAAGCAATCCATTTTATAATATAGAATAAGAAGAAAATATTTTTGTTACTTCTTTAAATTCAATTTAAAAATATAATATCATAAAATGAAATTTTCTTTTATGTAAAATTTTTATAATAATAAATAAATATAAAATTATGATACTTAATGTTAATTTAAGAATTTAATTTAAAATTAATTCAATCAATTTTAACTATGAGAAATGATTCAATTTAAAGTAAAATTGGTTTAATTTTAAAATAACGTGAATAAATAATTTAAATAATTCATATTTAAGTTACTAGTTTAAACATAACTATTACAATATTACTAATGATATATATTTATAATCCATTTTTAAGGATTAAATGAAAATATTTCATCTGTGTAATTTTATATTTCAGATAATTTAAAAGTTTGTTGCAGTATTGCGGCGTTGCTGCACAATTTATAACTTTTTGGGGTGTTACGTAACGGTTTTAGACCGCAACAGTCGTTATGCAGTTTTTTTATCGCGTTGCGCTAATATTGTGTCGCGGTGACCTTCAAAACCGTTACAATGCGGCTGTTACACTGCGTTGCGGCCGCAATTTAATGCCATGGGTACTTCTTTCTGCATTGTTTTATTTTGTTTTGATACTTGGGTTCAGGAGTCAGGGGTGAGTGTCCAGTTATGGTTACGTGTTCAACACAAGCATAGTTAATTTTTTATGAAGTTTTTGCACACAATTGGAGAACACTGCATCCGTACATGTCCCGATTATGTATAGCGTACAAGAGTTGGACATGGATAGTTAAAGGAAGATGAAATAGCAAGAACCAAAAAGAATTTGATTTCAGTTGACTGAAAATAAACTTTTTTCTCTCACGTTATGCCTAGTCATATTTAATGCCTATTGATTGTTATTGTAGTTGTACTGCTGATCCTACTCGGTTCTTTCTTTTTGCATCTTTTCTTTTGGAAAGTCGATAACTGGGAAAAGATAAAATCGGTTACACTTCCACTGCCCGCTGGAAAGTCCCCTCAGGGTGACACTCGAGTTCAATTTCACTCTGATCAAGTTCGATTGTTAGTTTGCCATGAAACTCAACTTGCAATATATGATGCTAGCAAGATGGAATGCATTCGGCAGGTAAAAAGCTATAACACTTAAGGTAATGAATTTATACTGTTTTACATTGCAGTGGACAAATTTTTACTGTTCTATGTTATGTTTGCAGTGGATGCCACAAGAAGTACTTTCTTCATCTATATCGTGTGCTGTATATTCCTGCAATAGCCAGCTAGTATATGCTACTTTTACTGATGGTAACATTGGAGCATTTGATGCTGATAGTTTAAGACTCAGATGTCGTATTGCACCATCCGCGTACATCTCTTCTGCATCCTCAAACAGGTTACAGCTTATATCACCATGTCATTTGCTTCGGTTTATTTGCTTATTCTCTATGGGTTGAAAGTTTTATCAACTGTGATGCGTAGAGGTGTGCAAAACTCAGTTAAACTGTGTTAAACCATATTGATCTATCCAATTGGGTTGATTTGGTTTCAGTTTTAGTCAGTCTAAGGAGTCTGTTGTTGGTTTATATAATTGATAACTGGACTAACTGAATAAACAGAGTTTAATACAAACATATTAGTTCTAGGTTTTCTTTAATCAGCTTTGCATGGAACATGCAAGTGAGATCTTACATCTGATTTTGATGTTTTACTACGACAGCCAAACCGTGCACCCAGTTGTAGTGGTGGCACACCAGCAGGAAGCCAATCAGAAAGTTGTGGGATTGACGAATGGTGCTGTTAAAGTTATAGAACTCTCGGAACCGGAGAGGAAGGGGGTACCTGTGGATAACGGAACAGAGAATGTCAGGACGGCAACATCAGCCACCACTAACACTTCTGAAAACTTACAGCGATGAGCTTCCGACAAGGCATCGATGTATAATATGTAGTTGGTTGTTCATTTTGTATGTGCAACTGTAAGTTGTTTGAACATAGGGGAAAACATGTTTAGATCAACTGAAGAAAGAAATATAGTCTTTATGCATGTAAATCGAGCACCAATCTCTTTGATAAATGTGACATGTAAATTAATGTTGCATATTACTCGGATTCGGATATAGATGTATTTAATACAAATATATTCAATTGTTTTATTTATTTATTTATTTATTTATTTATTTGGAGTTCCTTAGAAAATTATATTATCTTACCAATGTTTGGAAACAATAGAAAAGAGAAAAACAAACAGAAAAAGGAAAAAGAAAAATTATATCGACAAGAAGCCATTGATAAAGAAGACAGTAAATTATGCAAAAAAAGAACGTAATACCACTAAACAAATTTGGGTTATGGTTAGTAAAAAGTCAATCTCCTCTTATTGATTTTTGTTTTTTTTTCTTTGATAGATCTCTCATAATTTACTTTATGTATTTTTTTCACATACAATATACATATTTCAATTTTTACTTGTAAAATATTGACAAAATAATTGTACAAACATCGTTATTTTTCTTCAAATAAAAAAAATTATACGAAAACATAAAAAGTTTAATAATTATTTAAAAATAATTAATATAAAAAATTATATAATGAACACTTAAGGCTAAAAATATAATAATTATTCAATTCAATAATAAACAAATAAAATTAAATTAAAAATTATAAAAACTTACAAACCAAACGACCTTGTGGTAAAAAAATTGTTGTTATTCCTTGAGGCCTCGGGTGTGAGAGTTCAACGTCAAATGATTGAAAGTTATATATACATTATACTTACTTTATATTAATAAAAGAATATTATAAAAACTTACCCAAAATGGAATTGTAGGTTGTTTTTTTACATAATAAAATAAGTATTTTTAAAGGAAAAAAAAACTTAATTTAATGAGTGTTTTATAAGATGGAGAGTTAATTTTTATAGGGGATGAAATCAGACGGGAAAAAGATAAATAGGAGCGTTTTCACCTTCCAATCATTTCAAAAATTTTAAATTGAATTGTTAATTGGACTACCACATAAAACAAAAACATGTCCTCTAAAATATATTTTTATTAAATTATAATAATTATAAAGAAATATTTATTTTAAAAATTCTCATTGTGAAAATTCAAACATTCTTATAATTTCTAATACTCAAATTTAAAATTTTTAGGGATAACAACCATTATTTTAACTTTTGAGATGACTTAATTCATGCCATATAAAATATATCTTTTAAAGACATGACATGAAAAAAAAACGTAGATTTGGATATTAATATAAAATGAGTGTTAATTTGATAATTAATATTTTTAGGGTGATATGCAAGCAAAAATGTGATTTTTTGGGCTTTGGTTAGAGCATCGTCATTTTGCGAATTGGGTAAAATCCCCGATCTTCTGTTTCTCCCTTATTCTTTGGGGATGTCTCAGGAAAGGCAGGTTAATATACGGCTAATATATGGCGTTATTGGATACATTAAAATATATTTAACAAATTCGGTTTAGCGCTACCGGAAATGTTGAGTAATAATAATGAAGTAGATCTAAATCATGAAGAAATATTAAAAAATTTGGCAACCAACAAACTTAGCTTGTCGGTTTATGTCGATACTTTATAAAAATGTATCGATCCACATCAATATAATAGGAAAAAATATGACAAAACCGGTCACGAAAAGACAAAATCGGTAAAGCGCTGCCGGGTATATTGAAAGTGTCGATACTTTAATATAAGTATCGACACATTGTGAATTTAAAAGAGAATCAGTTTTAGCACCTATAAAGTGTCGATACTTTATAAATATGTATCGATCCACAACGATATAACAGGTAAAAATATGATAAAACCGATCTCTAAAGGACAAATCCGGTATAGAGCGACCGGATATATTGAAAGTGTCGATACTTTAATATAAGTATCGACACTTTGTGAATTTAAAAGAGAAGCAGTTTTAGCGCCTATAAAGTGTCGATACTTTATAAAAATGTATCGATCCATAATGATATAACAGGTAAAAATATGACAAAATCGGTCTCTAAATGACAAAACCAGTAAAGCGCTACCAGATATATTGAAAGTGTCGATACTTTAATAAGTATGCGTAATAAATTATCGATACTTTCAAAGAAATAGGTAATTATACTATCGAAAGTATCAACACATGACATAAAAGTATCGACACTTTTGTAGTTGTATCGATTAAATATAAATAACATATCCGGTGAAAATATAAAGGGCATAGTTAAATATCCTCTGAAAAATAGATAAAACGGACGAGTTTTTGAAATCGAAGCGTAATTGTTGTTACATATCAGAAGGCGTTTCTAAAGCGAAGTTTGTTTGTTTGTTTATGCAGTCGAATCGAAAAGTACGTTATCGAAACCCTAGTTTTTTATTATTACAATAATCGAAAATAGTGTTTTTATGTATTGTTTGGGGTTTTGGAGTAAATAAGCATTTGAGACCGATTACAGGTAGAAAGTGATATTCTAGGTAAAATATAACTATTGATACTTTTATTAAATATTATAGGTAGAAAATGATATTATAGGTTGAATAAATGTGCCGATACTTGGAGTATTGAGTGTACCCATTCGTTTGAAGGAAATAGGGATTAGGGTTTTTGGGTTTGGTTTGAGGATTTTGAATTGAAGCTAATAAGGATTTGGGACCGATTATATAATATTATAGGTAGAAAATGATATTTTAGGTTGTATAAATGTGCCGACACATTTTGTAGTGGCCGTTCAAATTCTTTTGAAGAAAACTGTTTTACCACAAGAGTAGTTATCTATATTTGTATATTGAATAAAGTGTATGTAACAAGTATTTGATTTTATTTGCGTAAACTAATAAATGAAGGAAAAATTGAGTCAATGGGTGGAAATATTGTTGGTGGCGCAGATGACTTTGAAATTGAGGCCGAGACTCGAAAGCAACCAATGGGTGAATATATGTACTTCTAGTAAGTATCAATGTCTTTTTGTTATTATTGTTGAAATGGTAATTGGATTAAAGTATTTAAGAAATTTAAATTGATGACAAATTTTAAATGTTGACAGTATGATTGAATGCAAAAGGATGAAGGAATGTGGCGAACGCATCGGTTCGGTATGTAAATTGAAATTGACATTGAGTATTATTTAGCGTTAATGTATTGATTAAAAAACGTTTATGCTTAATATTTGGTGAGAAATGATGTGTTGGAGAAATGGAATTTGATGAGTGATGCTGAGAATGAACTTTACATCGCACAGTCAAAGATGGATAGTGAAGAATACAAAGAATGGAGGAAAGCACATGAAAAAAAAGGTATTCATTAAACTTGTAAATACGTTGAAACAAAATATATAAGAACTATAACATTATATATTGTTAAAAAATATAGGAAGTGTCGATAAGGTGCAGCATTAAAAGGGTGAATTCATTAATTAAACACCTTAAGGAGAAGGATCAGTTGAATGTGCTGGGAGAAATGAGGTTTGGATAGTTGGTAGGAGTAAGGGATCGACCTATTCGGAGGGAATTGTATCGATTCTTGATGGCGCAATTTGATGTCAAACAATTTATTGCTAAATATGGTGATTTTTCATTTCCTCTCGGATCCCATGTACTGCAGTCGTCTTGGGGGTAGGAAATGAAAGCAAAAGTGTTGTAGAAGTCTCTAAGAGTAAGAACAGGAAAGCACTTGCCTCCAAATATGGTTTGAAGCAGAAGGTGACATATGCTGAACTTGAAGAGGAAATCAAAAGTGGATCTTACGGGGGGATGAATTGAAGGCTCGAGTTCTATTGTAACTTATCGGGATCTTTCTTTGTCCAACGGGTGATACGTCAATGAACAAGGACTATATGAAGCTCATTTGCAATGAAGGCTTGAAGGATGAATTCAATTGGGTTGAATATGTCCATTCTAGATTGATTGAATCAATAATCACCTTTAAAAAGGGCAGCTAGAGATACCTCAAAGGGTGCATAGTAATCTTAGAGGTAAATGAGTTGAAGAACGTTTTTGTTTTTTATATAAAATGATAGTATAGTTATTATATAAAATTATAAATTTTATTATAAATGCAGGTTGCACTATTCGATTTTTGGTCGGGTTGTGAGGCAGTGCCAGCTTATGAAAGAACCGGAGTGGCACGCATCCGTGCATAAGGGAATGAAGAGGTGGTTAGAGTGATGACGAAGTTGAAGTTGGATAGATCGAGGAAGCAAGAAAGGGTAATAAATGTAATTAAAAATATTAAGAATATAATCAATGTCTTAATATTGTAATTTAATTTTGAAGGTTATTGGTAAGGAGATAGTGGAGGCAGAGGAGAAGGAAGAAGAGATGGTTGTATTGGGAGATGACGGTGAGGGGGATGATGATGAGGAAAAATAGAGTAAATTCGACATTTTGATATCTAAATTGGCTGATATAAAAAAAATCCAATTTGATATCACGCAAAGACAATCAAGAGTCGAAGAGAAACTTGATAGAGTCGAAGAGACACTTGAGAGGCATAAGGGGGAAGTGGAAGGAAAAATAGATGGAGTGATGAAAGAAGTTGAGGTGTTGAGGGGTGAACTTAAGATGGCGACGGGTGAAAAAATTGATGGAGTGGTGAAGGAGATTGTGGAATTGAGGAGTGAACTTATGAGGGTGAAGGGGGTGGTTGATGAATACTTGGATGAAGGGGAAAATTGAAGGGTGAAATAAAAGAAATGAAGAGCTGTGTAGAGCAAAAATACGATGAACTGAAAAAATATGAAGAAGAAAAGAGGGAGGAAGAAGAAAAGATTGAGGAAATGAGGAGGAAGGATGTCGATGTGATCTATACACCGGAGAGTGTTATAGATGCAGATTTGGATTCGGAATGTCCTACACCCAGAAGAAGAGGCAGAAGGTAAGTTGAATAAAAGAAAATTTAACTTGATCTCTATCATGTTGTTGTGACAAAAATTTGTATGCAAAATTGTAGGTTGAAAAAGCGGATATTCCAAGCGGAATTGATGACATCGAAGCTGTAAT